TTTTATAGGCACTTAGCAGCGGCCGCCAAGCACATCTACAGTCGACTGGCAGCAAATGCTTCTGAAGGTTGATGAAGGCATGCCAAATCTCATAGTCAGTTTGGTCTCGAATGGAAATCAGCTTTCCGACAAGGTCTGCAAATAGGGTAGTCTCTCTCAGGCTTTCAAGGATTAAAGGAGTGTTTTCTTACAGTACTTGTCACGTTTTCAATCCGCATTGAATGTACTGATCGGTGATTGGTGGCGGTAGCTTATGGTTGATTTCTTCTGGAGAGCATCTTGACCCTCTTGCCAGGACAGTTAGCAGTTCACTACGAACGGTACTTCCACAGGTACTGAAGCTCATGATTCTTATGCGGCAACATGCTTTCTGAACACAAGTGTATAAGTTCAGGAAAACAGGCAGATACAGTACCCCAGAAATGCGCGTGAAATTGAGTGTGTCAATTCCGCAAATACACACAAGTGGGATTGAGGCCAGGAGGCAGAAGCGACGCTGATTCCGCTTTCCACCTGTTGCCAGATGCTCTCTGAGCGAAACTTGAGTGATGTTGTGTGCAGTCGGCGCCCCAAGCTTCAATTTCACGCGCAGTTGGGGATACTGTACCCCGCCTGTTCTCTAAACTTATTATGTAGTATCCCAAACAATGGATTCATAGACTGAACGTGACGTCGAAGTTCTACACATGATGGTAAATACGATGGCTGTAACAGCGAGAGAAGAAGGGCGACTCATGGTTGATGCGTCTCTGAACACCTTGCTGCTCCTGTCCAGAAATCTTGAACCTGGTGAAGAGGCTGCATTTAGAGCCCATGCCGTTGTAAGGCTCGCTCATCCGCCTCCTGGTGAGTTTACGATGCATAAGAAGGGCACGTCGCGCGCTAGGGAACTCCCAGCAGGGGGTCGTGTCTGGTCGATGAAGAGAGGGGAGGTCCTATTCGGCCTGAGAAATGTTTTTGGTAGTTGATTTTTCCTGTTTCATGCGCGCTATCCACAACGTTGGGAGAC